TATAATATATATTATATAATAACATAATATATATATATATGTGAGATATATATTTGCTGTTATTACCTGTTCGCCTCTATTCCTGCAGAAGACAGACACTTGATTTTTCCCTATCACCACTGCACTAAATAACAGTTTTTCTGAAGCTCTTCATGGTGATCCACTACTTGACCTTTAGTCCAACTTCTAACCCTCATTTCTCCCTCCTCCCCTCACACACTCAGTGTTATATGAATAAATAGTTGACAGTAGTCATCCTAATGCTTGCTGCTTTTCTAAGCTGCATTTATAAGTAGTTACATGGGCCTTCTGAAATCCCTCACAGCCTTCTCTGCTGTTAAAGTATGTTATCTCCTGTGCTAGCCTGTCATTTTTGCCACCTTTCTGTTCACCTCCCTCCAGATCGATCATACATGAAATAACACCTAATCCGTGTGCTGAGAGCACCTACAAATGGTCCCTTCCTATGTAGAAATTGTTCATCTCTTCCACCTCTTTGCTCTTTATCTCTTAACCAGCTTCTAATACATGTCTGATGTTGTCTGGTTGACTGTTTGCACTCTGAAGGAGTTGCCAGGTCTTTCAGCATTCTTGTACAATGTTGTGGTGCTGTATAAATATTTATTCATACATAAGGCATTCTGAGTTCATTTTATCGGCTATAGTCATCTAGGTGTTTTATACCTATTAATTTTTTTTCCAATTAACTTTTCTACCACTGAGATAAGGCTTTCCGCTCTGTAATTACCAGGGTCATCCCCTGCATCTTGTTTAAAATTAGATAAAATATTGACCATTCTCTAGTCCTAGCTGATGTGTAGTATGCTGCATTCTTCAGTTAATAGTGAGAAAAAATCTCTTACCTTTGAAAAGAGTGATAACACTGCTCACAGCAAGGCAAAGGTCTGACCTTCAATGGCCTTCTGCTATAGTAGCTCTAGGGTCTCCCAAGTTAATGCCTTTATGATATGAGCCCACATCACATCCCGATTTAAAGTCCATAAAATTCATTTTCACTTGAGACTTAAACCAAGTGGTAAATCAGTCTCTTATAAAAGATCTGTGTCAGAAATTAAGTCAGCATGGCATGCAGCTATCTACTTTCAGATAATTGGAAGAATAATACCAAGTAACCCTCCTAGGTACGTTCACTTTAGTGAATATTGTTCACATCTGTTTCTGAAAATGCTTATTTAAAGGTAAGAATATAAAATGTTCTTTCCTTGTTTTTTGCCTCTCTAAATGTGATCTGAATGGATTAAAAATAAATGTAACGGACTTTGTTCTTGTGCAAAAATTTTGCCTTCCTAAAAAATCACTGAGTGGGAAAAAAGCTAAGGCTGAAAGATTCAGCTGCTTCCTACAGGTAATAAACCTCAAAGGGAAGAGAGTTTACAAGTGGCTTAATTGTCATTTCCAAGCATGGTCATAAGTTTAAAAGATATAGCACAAAACAAGAGGAAGTGCAGTCAAACATCTCAAAGAACACATGTCTCTCTGTTACTAAAAAGAATGTTCCCAGTGGTATACACATTCATGTTCTATCAGTCCTTTGCTGGGAAAAATCAGCCCAACGTAAACCTCAGTCTTGCAACAAAGTTCACTAGGAAGCTGTGGTAGCATCCACACAGACAGGTGGCAAAAGTTGTCTCCAATTTCTTCTAAATTAACTTACCTATAAATACCTGTTAACACCCCTTTCTAACACATATATAACCTCCTTCCACTCTGCTCATTCACTGCTTCCAAATGCTTTTCACTGGGTGATGTTGTGGCCTTAAAGACATTAATATTAACCTTATTTAAAATCAGGCCTTCCTGCAGGTTGACTCCATGGGTGTGTGTCTCTCCATGGCTTACTGCAGTGGAAGGTATGAATGCTGCTCCATGAGGTACCAAGCTGGTATCTAGCATCGACAGCTAAAGCAATGCCATTACCTATGTCTAGGCACTCTAAGGATACCTAAACCTGTCTGGAAGCCTAAGCAGATCCTTCACCTCAGAAAGAGTAGTGACCACAGGGGGCATTCACTTAAAGACTCTGGTCTCTCTCAAATGATACCATCTTTGGCTGTGACACTTCTATGCAGTCAGTGATTTTTTGCCCATTGATTTTTGCACTGCAGATCCAACATAATAATCAATATAAGCATGACAATATAAGATGATAATGATAATATAAAATGATATAGCATAATGATAATATAACATGGTATAGCACGATCAATAGAACATGACAATCCACATAAGTAGCACACATGGCTCTGAGAAAAGCCTTCGGAATACATGTAAGCAATAAATATCCAAAAGAAGTACCAAAGAAAAGAAAAAGAGTGAAAATACCTCATGATATTTTTTCACTGTTTTCCCTGACATGCACGTGCAGGATTTCCAGTTCGAAGTCCCACAGCCACAGTTTCCTCCACAGCGCTGGACAAGGAGGCAGCGGGGGAAGAAAACTACATTTGTCAGCTTCAGTTCCTCCCTTAAATTGACAGAGTAGTTTCTCGGAGTGCAGCTGTAACGTTTCACATCATCATTCAACCTGTCCAGGTCAACTGCAATGCAAAAGAAGCTTCATTAGTAAGGTTTGAGTGGGACATTCCTCTGGTTTATACTCCTCCCCAGGCAGTCAATAACACAAAGTGATGTGACACTAGTTAGAAAATATGTGAAGTATAGCGGTGATTTCTGAACAGATAAACATAAACCTACCATTTTTAAATCATTACAGGTGGCCATCCAGGCTCTCATCCTGCTCCCACCCACTCCCATAGCAGAGCTCACACTGACAATAAAGATGAAAGGAAGGCTTGCAGTAAAATATTGGCCTGAAAGCTGAAGATTGGTTATTTGCTTTGTCACTGATCTGTTGGATCCTTGGGTAAGAGATTCCATCTCTGCTACTCTCTTCCTTCCTCTGCTTATACCTGGCTTAGATGATGAGCTCTTTTTGTTATTATGGACATAACTCCTTTTGCTTAACTGCAGGCATACAAAAGGCAAACACTTTAAACAAGGATTTTCCTGTGGTCAGTAGAGAAATGACTTTGGGGATTGATTCATCCCTTCCTCACAAAAGCACTTAGGACAGGTGGCATGACTTGCTTTCTCAAGTTGCCTGTCTGTATTGTTTATGGCCAGAGTCTAGATAACTCTCTTTTAGATGGAGAAATCAATCTAAGCAATATTAATTTCAGCTGGTAAATGCTACTATAATAGGCATACAAATAAATACAATTAGAACTAATGAGCTTCATTGAATGCCAGTAGTTGGTTGGCGTTTAAATGCCTGGTATCTTGGTGAGATATGTCATGTAAACAAGTAGTAAAGCCAACCATAAAAATAACTTATAGACTATCAACTGTGAATTTAAGTGTTATTTCTAGCTTTAGCTTGTAAAGCTAAAGCAAAACAAAAAAAACACTTCCATAAATAAATTTTTCACAATTGTAGCACAGATAAAAGTAACAAATTTAATGAGCTTTATTTCTGTAGAAGTTTTCTGTTTTCTTTTTCCCTCTTTTTTTCTGCTTTCTTCTTTTCCTTAGCATTCTGTCCACCAACTATGTGTTCAAAAGCTCAATAATTCATTCACGACTGGTGGACACGAATGTGTGTTGAGTTCCCAACCCAAACAGTATTTGCTAATAGAAACATCAACAGGGAGATAGGAACATCTCAAATGAGAACTGCAGTGTTTGTGAACATAGCAGATTTTCATGGGCATGTTTAATAGCTCAACAGCATCTCTTGTCCTGAGTGCATCTACGCTTGTGCTTTACTATAAACATGTGAAAACCTCCAACAAAGACACCTCATACCTTCTGTGACTCGTTCCTTGTCACCATCACAAAGTAAATTGTGGAAAAAGCTGTGATTTGTAAATATCACGCACCTTTACATTCTGGCCAGGAGATGTGCACAAGGCAGATATGCAAGAGGCAAGGGTACGTAAATGTCATGAGTGTTATTATAGAAATTCATAGCAGCTTCACTTTTCTGGCAAGGTGTTATCTCAGTCAATGGGAATTTAGATAAATTGCTATTTTATAGCAATTGTGATATATCTCACCATGAAATCTCAGGGGTTCTCTCCAAAGAGCTAGCATCTCTCCAAAAGAGGTATATATCATCCTCCTGATATAAGCACAAAATCAATGGGGCTGCTGGTATACTCATACACTGGGAGAAAAATATACTCCGAATGTCCACAGCCAGGACTTAGAAGTCCAGAGAATATTGATTTCTTTGTTTTAACAGGTGATATTTTCTTCTCCACTATCATTTTCCAAAGCCACTCCTTCTCATTGCAGGTGCTCAGGCTAATTCTTCTCACTCCTCTAACGTTCTCATCAGGACCTTTGCTATCAGGTTTGCTTACCAATAAAGCAAAGACGTACGGGGCTACTATTAATTTCGTCTGACTGCTGTGAAGGAAAAATTAACCAAAGGAAGCAGAGGGCAGAAAATACTCTGCCTTCATGATTAATAAGATTTCCTGAGGGGAAAGCCTGGATCGTCCACACTGTGGCACTACAGCAATCCAGGGGAATGGACGTTGATATGAGCAGGCTCCTATTCAGACAGGCTGGCTGTGGAGTAGATGGCATTTGCCGATGGTGCATCTCTAGACAGTGACAGAATAAAATGCTCAAAGGCTTAATTCAGCCTTAATTCATCTGAGGTAACATAGGAAACAAGGCTTCCAGTAACAAACTGGTTACTAGAGAGGGCCCAGACCCAGGTCATATGAACAGACATCTGTGTTCCAGAGAAGATGTTTGGGGGACGAGCAAAATTTGCGCTATCACAGATGAAATTTCCCCCCAAGCTCAACATTCCTTCCTGCATTGAACTGATACATATTATCACTGCTGTGTTATCAAGACAGAAATGAGTCTGTAACGAGACTGGCAGAGGGGGAAAGCACCGGCATTTAAAGGACCAGGGTGGGGGGGGCTTTCCTGCAGAGAGCATATTATATCCATCACAGTGTTACACACATTAGCTTTAGTACTTAAGCTGCTCAATTTAAATGGCAAGGGGTGACCTGGCAAAGGGCTTTCACTGGAGGGAAGGCTTTGCTCACTAGCCTTCAAAAGCCTAGTTTTGATGACTTTCAGAAGTCTTTGCAGGATCTCTTAGGCTGTAGCTGAGTCTGTGGAGAACTGTTGATTTGCTCGAAGCATAGGGAGGAACAGCCAGATAATTAGGATAATAGTTTTCTCTATGCAGTATGAGGGAACCAGCTGTTTTCAAAGAGAGTTCAAAATTTTCCCTGGATGCATTCTTCAGGAATTCTGTTCTCTACCAGTGGCAAAATACATTTTATTTAGTGTATTTTTCTATGACAAACTGCATTTGAAAAACCTATAGGAAATTTTCCAACGGAAAATTGCATGAATTTTCCTTGGTATCACACTCAAGGCATTCTGATCCTGACTTCTTAGTAGTTTTCGGGACCCCAAATCCCAGAGTTACCAGTTAAGATGTGAATTCTCAGCACTTTGTCGTACCCCCAGGTACCAGAGTCCAGGTTGAGATGGACAAACACAATAGCAGAGAGGTCTTGGTGATGCTGAAATCATGAAAATAAAAAACTTCAAGCAGAGAAGGAAAGACTAAATAAAGGGTTCAAGAGATACACAAGTCAAACTCCACAAAAATTAATCTGGAAGTGAAAACTTATGCTATTTCTGACTCTGCTCTACAGAAATCCAGTGCCTGGTGGGATAAGGTGAGCACTCAATGTCTCCTGTGAACAGCCTATACTGTACTCTGGTAGCATCAAACTGACACTCAAGAACAGTTGCCATTGCCTAATGAGCTTTAGACCATGGTTTGCAGCCCCTTAACAAAAGAACACATTTTGCTCTGAACAACTCTCTCTGCTGAAAGCATCGATATGTATTTTTCCCTGTCTTGGGATTGTTTTACTGTCTGGAGCCAGTCCATTTTCTCATCCACATAACAATGAGATTTTACAGTACAGTCAGTTTCATGCATCACTGCACTGCTGTGACTAAAATGTAACCGAGCCTTGGTGTGATTGGTGTGAAATCCTGCTGCTTTACTTATCAAGGACTGAAACCACTGGAGTCCTTAATTTAAAACTAGAACTAAAAGGTTCTGTAGACTGGATGCAAATAACTTCAAAGTGTTACTACAGCATGCCTGCATCAGAGATTCCATTTAAAGGCATGGCAGACATAAAAAGATGCACTGGAGCAGTAAGCTGGATCCTTGGGGTACAGTGTTTGCCCCCTTCTTCCCCTTAAATCCTAAGCTTAGATTCACCCTCATTTCACATAGCGCCATGGCATGTGCTTACCTTGAAACACTATCTTAATCAGAGGTAAGCACTGAAATCAGGGACTGCAGCTAATACCATGTTTTATTCAGAAGGGACAGCCTCTGAATATTGGACAGATTGGAGGGAAAACCTGTGTTGCTGGTCACTGATTAATTTTAAAAAGACAGGTGGTCTGTTAGAGTTTCTTTTAAAAGTTTATCTAGTCCAAATTCATACATGGCCCTAACATTGTCATACCTGAACATTCTGCACTTTTTTTCATGCATCGGCCACAGACCAGAGCTGAGGTTTAAGAGATGGTAGCCACCTTGCCACAGTATCCCTATACCACACGTCAAGGCCATCTACAAGCAAAGCAAGGATTCAGGCAGGTGCAGACCAGTCAGCCAAACAACAGCCCAAGGTAGAATTAAGTGGTAAATCCTCCTGGAAGCAATGTCCAGGCACATGAAAGACAAGAGGATGACTGGGAACAGCCAGAATAGATTTACCAAGGGCAAATTGTGATGGACCAACCTGAGAGTCTGCTATGATGAGACAACTGTCTCGCTAGATGAGGGGAAAGCAGCAGAGGCATCTGCTGATTTTTGACAGTGATCCATAGCACCCTTGCAGCCAAAGTTCTGAGATATAATGGGATAGGTGGACTACAAATTTGGTAGATAACTAGAAGGTCCAAGAGGCTTGAGCAAAATGGTCAGCAATTCCAAGTACAACTGGTGGCTGATTACTAGCAGTGTTCCTCAGGGAGTAATGCTGAGGTCAATACTGCTAAAGACCTTCACTAATGATCTGAACAATGAAATTATATGAATCTTCAGCAAGTTTGTCTCACATCACATTAGGGAAATTTGTCCACGTGCTGCATTTCAGAAGGACCTCAGCAAGCTGGGGAAATGTGCTATCAAGAACCTCATGACGTTCAGTGATGACAAACAGAAATTCCTCCACCTGACATGGAATAATCCCATGCACCAGTCCAGACTGAGGACACCCTGGCTAAGCAGAAGCTTTGCAAAAAAAGCCTTGGCATCTTGTTAGGCAGCAGGTTTGAACATGAGTCAGCTGTTTGCCTTGCAGTGACAGAGGTTGCACACTGAGCTGCATTAGTAAGAATGTGCAGCCTGTTGAGGAAGGTGAATATTCCCCTTCATTCAGCTCTTGTGAAGCTGCATCTGAACAAACTAGGAGTTAAGTAAGGGTGACCATGATGATTAAGGTCCAAAATAACCAGTGAGGCT